TTATTAAATTATTAGAGTTAATATTAATTTAACAAATTTTTTAACTAAATAAATAATTAAAATAAAAAAATATTTTTAAAAAAATTAAAAATAAAAATAAAAATAAATAAAAATAATATAATTCGTGACCATCTTTCAAAATTATAAAGATTGAAAACAAAGGAGGAAAAAACTCATATCTCCCTCCATCTCTCTCCTGGTCTATCCTTCTATTAAGATCAATAATTCAAACATGATTTTTCCTCAAAAAATAATTCAAACATGATAAAAAAAAAAAAAAAAATCTCTCCTTTCACCTCATTCCCTTTCCCTCCAATTTTTCTAATCCAAACTAACGGTGGGACTTTTGGCATCTGTGATATCCCAGTCTACACGCAAGTCTTTTGGCATCAATCCCGTCACAGTCTACGATCAAGAACCAGACCACGACGGGAATGTTGTCTCTATAGAGTGTTTTTCAAGGAACTTTTCTCTTATCAGAGCCACAAACTGTGATACCACTGCTTTCCAAATTTCCACACTACTAGTCGTTAGCGTTCACTTTACTCCAGCCGTGTCTTCCACGTACGTCTACAAGAAGAGGAGGAATGACTGTTAACGTTTTGTACAGCAAGTTTGCTTGGCAGTACTCAGTGGCGGAATCTGGATTTTTTCTTGGGTAGGTATCTTGTCTTATCATCACTTAATATATTATAATTATATAAAATAAATAAAATAAGTAAAAAAAATTAAAATATAAAAGATCAAACTGTAACATAAGAGAAAGAGCAAGAACTTAGATGACAGAAAAAAAAGATTACAAATCCGATTGAAGAATTAACGTAAGATATTTTATTTTAATATATTAAAATATTAAAAATGTTATAGTTATAATGTCACTCGATATTATAAATTTATAATATTATATATCATTATATAATTAATTTTTTTAAAAAAAATTTATTGATAATATTATATATATATTAATTTAATATTATATTATACTTATTTAATATTACATTATAATTAGCATTATAACTATAGTATTATTTTAAAATATATGAATTCCTCTCTTTTTTTCTTTTTTTTTTTACACCCAAACCTAATTAAACCCTCAATCCTTCTTTAATCTTCCTCAATTACAATGAATTAAGAAGGATTTGTGTAGATTCTCTTTTAAAAACTTTGTGAGGGCTTAGTTGGATGATGTATTGAAAGCTAATCTAGATAAATTATGGGATATTACTTAAAAACTAATTTGTATTAAGTAATACTTGGTTTTTAAGGGATCTAATTGAGAGAATATAAAATACTATTGTAACTTTTTAAAAATGAGTTTCATTGGTTTTCAAAGTTCACTTGAACAAAGTTATGGAAGTGGAGATTGCTAGAAACAAAGAGAAAAAAAAACATAGAAATAAATTTTGCAATAATATTTTTTAAGATATTAAATTTATTCTTCTCTTGAATTTTAGTTATTCAAGATATTAGCTATGTATTTTTTTTTTTAATTTTCTTTCCACTTCAATATTTTACATATTTCTCTTGGTGTTTTTTTGTTATAATTTTTTAAAATCTTAAATATTTTATTTTTCTTCAAATTTACCTAACTACAAGATGGGCCTAGACAATTACGCCCTTTACTTTCTTCAAATTTTTTCGGCTTAGTTTGGGCCATGCCTAGCCCTGGGCCAACATGCTTCCGCCACTGGGAGTGCTTATAAACATGAAGCCAATTTCAGCAGAAGAGGCACTCGCAGGTCGCAGCTGCAGGACTAATGAGATCCTTCCTAATGTCTGCTCAACTTTCGCTGGTAGATTACTTTGGGAGAGAAAGCTTGCTTGGTACTGAAAATCAGGGTAATTCTTTAAATGGTCCTCAAATATTCTTTAAGTTCTGTGATCATAATGCTAAACATTTTCAAGATTAATGTTGTTGCTTATAAAGTTCAGTTCGGAGCTTTTCCATTTTCTTTTCTTGGGTACATGAGATATTAGCATGTTCATTTGCTAGACACTTATATAAATACTTTTCAATTTAATATATCTTTCGATATATTTTTTAAAAAATTATTATTTTTAAATTTAAATTAAAAATAAAAAACTTAAAAATATAAATTTTAATAATTGAATTAATGAGTATTGACAAATATATTGGATCAATATGTACTAATCATTTTTCAATAATGATGCTTCCCATGTCCATGTTTGTTGACCGACTTTAATCCCATAATCAAGACTTTAACTTAGCAGATACTAGTGAAACTAAGCTCTAGTTGGTTAATTAGGAGCATAATCACTTATAAACAGCATTTGAGAGAGGCTTGATTTCATTTTGCTTGTACATTAATTTGCATTTTATTTAACTATACAATTTTTTTTGGGTGTGTTTGTGTTTGTATTTTGTAAATTGTAATATAGAATTGCTTTCTCTGTTCCACAGTGAGAGCTAGGATGGAGATGTTAGGTTATTTCCTCATTGGATTGCTTTGTAGCTTTTCTCTTCCAATTTCCATTCGTGCTTACGACCAAACAGGTATGGTATCTAGAACTGGATCTTTAAATAACCCTATGATTTAAGCATCTATAATAAAAGAATAACTTAATGAGGCCTCCCTTTTGTTTCTCTCTCAGGTTTCATTAGTTTAGATTGTGGGTTACCAGAAGATTCGAGCTATTCTGAAGCTACAAGAGGCATAACTTTTGTTTCAGATGCTCCTTATATTGAAACTGGAATTAGCAAGGATGTATTACCTGAATTCAAATCAGAGCTACAGCAGCAGATGTGGAATGTTAGGAGCTTTCCAGAAGGGGACAAAAACTGTTACAACCTAACCCTCAAGAAGGGTGATCAGTATTTAATCACAGCATTCTTCATGTATGGAAACTATGATGAAAAAAATGAAGTCCCAGGATTTGACCTGTATCTGGGACCTAACTTGTGGAACACAGTGTCATTACAAGATGCGTCAACCGCAAGAATCTACGAGATAATTCATACCCTCCAGTCAACTCACCTGTATATTTGTCTTGTCAATACCAGAAATGGGACCCCATTCATATCAGCATTAGAGCTAAGGCTTTTGAAGAATACAACTTACAAAAGCCAAACTGGATCGATGGAGCTCTTCAAGAGGTATGACGTTGGTTCAATGCCCGGTACACCATTCACGTAAGTCCCATTTCCAATATCATGATCAAATTTTTGGAAAGAAAACAAGTTTTTTTCTTTCTTTTTACGTACCTCTTCTTGGACCAGGTTTAAAGAAGATGTTTATGACCGTTTTTGGGAGCCTTACAATAGAGAAGATTGGACGCAAATAAGTACTGAATTCTCCATTGAAAATAACAGCACCTATCAACCACCATCTTCTGTGATGCAGACAGCTGGAACCCCTACAAGTGCTAGACAGTCATTGAATTTTTCCATTGGCACCATGGACTCTGATGCCAAATTTTATGTCTATATGCACTTTTCTGAAGTAGAAAAGATGGAAGCCAACAGATCAAGAGTTTTGAACATCTCCTACAATGGCACACATTCGTTTGGGCCATTTAGTCCTGAGTATTTGCGTGTAAAAACCGTTTTCTCCCCCATAGCCATGGAAGGTGGAGAGTTTTCAATCTACAGAGCAAGAGGTTCAACTCTTCCACCCATCCTTAATGCCCTTGAAGTTTATACGGAAAAACAGTTCTTAAAGTTACCAACAGCCCGGCAAGATGGTACTTTCTTTAAAACACATAATCAATATCCATGATGTTAAAAGTGAAACCAATTCTAATTTATATTCCAACACAATGTAGTGGATGCTATCTTGAATATAAAATCAATCTATGAATTGAAGAGAAACTGGCAAGGAGATCCTTGTGCTCCTCAAGCATACATGTGGGAAGGTCTTGACTGCAGACAGAACGATAATGATCCACCTAGAATCATATCCTTGTAAGTCTCTGCCTTTCCCTTTGAGTTATCAAATATTTACATTTCATTTAGTATCTTTGTTAATTGAACAAGTGACTATGAAACAGGAATTTATCCTCCAGTGATTTGACAGGAGAAATACCTTCTTGTATAGCCAATCTCACGGAATTACAGTATCTGTAAGTATCTCCATGTTCAGGGGACTAGCTAGCAAGTTGCAGAACGGAGAAGAAACATAAATTTGATTATTTTCTTTTACATACCAGGGACTTATCAAACAACAGTTTGACTGGATCAGTGCCTGAGTTTCTTTCTCAGCTGCAGTTCTTGACAGTGCTGTAAGTTACTAGGATTATTACTTCAAAGGAAAATTCATTCTCAGTTAAAAAAACTTATTACTGGGATGCCAATTGCAGAAATTTGGAAGAGAACATGCTTAATGGTTCAGTTCCAGCCAAATTAATCAAAAGGTCAGAGAATGGTTTGCAATTAAGGTATGCGCTCTCTTGAAAAATGATCAAATATTTCCATTCTTGCATTTCCACTAATTACTTATCTAATGTGTTTTCAACTGGAATTTGGTTAAATTAGAGTTGATGGAAATCCAAATCTTTGTGCATCAATGTCATGCAAGAAGAAAACAGGCAAGGGTATTGTTGTTCCAGTAGTCGTCTCAGCTTCTTCACTTTTGGGCCTCATAATTGCATTGGCTATCATTTGGAGACTTAAAAGGCGAAAACTTCTCGGTACGAGATAACTTTCACTGCAAACATTAATCAGTGGATTTTTAGACAAATAAAACTGACGCACCTGTATGTGCTCTTGGAAAATTGTTATCCCTAACAGAATTGCTATGATTTTATCAGCTAGGAAGACGGTAGCTAGGGAGACGGAGGGTTACAGAAAATCATGCCTCTCACTGGGGCCAAAAAATCCAAGAGTAACATATTCTGAGGTCCTGAAGATCACAAACAATTTTGAGAAAATTCTTGGTAAAGGATCTTTTGGAACGGTTTTTCAAGGCTACTTCAGTGACACTCAAGTGGCAGTGAAGATGCTTTCTCCACTATCAGTTCAAGGATATAAGGAATTTGAAGCAGAGGTTATGACCCTAATTAATGCAGAAGTTTTATCTTATGCAGCACCTGAGCGCATCTAGGGATAGATTAGGATACTAAAATAGACCCACTTATGCGCTAGGGATAGATTAAGATACTAAATCAGACCCACTTATTAATACGCAAAAGACAACTGCTTGACTTTGATCCCCTTTTTTTTTAATTTTAGGTCACAATTCTTTTGAGAGTTCATCATAAAAATTTGACAAGCCTTATTGGATATTGTTATGAAGGCTCCTACATGGGGCTAATCTATGAGTACATGGCCAAAGGAAATCTGGCAGAGCATCTATCAGGTTTTCACTTGATAAAGTTTGATTCTACCAAGTGTCTTTTATCTCAGACATAATTTAAGTTAAGATCTCACACTCTTTTTGTTTGTGTCCATAGAGAGCAGCAATGACATTCTGAGTTGGGAGCAAAGGCTTCAAATAATGCTTGATGTGGCATCAGGTTTCGAATCAGCATGAATTTTGCAGATTCTTTTTCCTCCTTTATTGGGCTCTATTCGTTTCTAACTGGTTAATTCAACTAATGTCCAAATGCAGGGCTGGAATATTTGCACAATGGCTGTAAACCACCCATTATTCACAGAGATGTGAAGTCTCAAAACGTCTTAGTAAATGAAAACTTCCAAGCCAAGATGGCTGATTTTGGGGTGTCCAAAACCTTTACCACGGAAGGTGGCAGTCATGTGTCAACAGTTGTTGCCGGTACCCCTGGATACCTAGATCCCGAGTGAGTGCTTATACTTATGATAACCCATCCCACATCCAAAAGATGCATAGAAATTTCTAATTTTATATGCGAGACAAACCACCAACTCTAGCGTTGGTCCTGCAGGTACTACCTCACAAACAGGTTATCTGAGAAGAGTGATACCTATAGCTTTGGGGTTTGGCTTCTGGAGGTCATCACAAGCCGGCCTGTGATTGCAAAAACCACTGACAAGACTCACATAAGTCAGTGGGTAAACTTCATGCTGTCCAAGGGTGATATCAAAAGAATTGTCGATCCAAGATTGAAAGAAGATTTTGATGTTAATTCTGCCTGGAAAGCTGTAGAAGTAGCAATTGCCTGTGTGTCTCCAACTCCCACAGGAAGGCCAACCATGAAAGATGTCGTGGGGGAACTGTACGAGTGCTTAGCAACTGAGAGAGCTAGGAAGAAAATAGGACACGAAAATGGATCACAAAACTCAGCTGGCATGTTGCCCATGAACCTGAATTTCAGCTCTGAAATGGGTCCCTTTTTTCGGTGATCTTGTAAACTTATTGTTATGTTCAGAATAAATCTCCATACTGGAGATAGAGTTACTGCAGATTGCAGTGATTTTATAGCTTTAGTTGATGCCAGCATTAATATATGAATCGTGGTTTAATGTGTTTGAAGAAGTCTCACCTCCTATATATATAATTTCGTCTTTGCATTTGTACTTGTAGTTCCAAAGAAATAACAAGTTAGTTCTTCTCTATGCTAGAATTTGATCAATTTAGTTCAATGTTAATTATATGATTTGCATCTTAATGGAATTTGAAGAAATGAGCAATTCTAGCAGTCTTAATTAACATCGAAATGATGAGTAAACCATAGGATTCCATTTTATAGAGGACAAAACTTTAATGAGGACTGTTTAATTAATTAAACCGTTGACTGTATTCTAGCTGTACTAAAACCTTGTCTGTTTTGTAATGTCAGATTACTCTGTGATAATAGTTTATTGCGCAGTAAAAGGAGAAACAAAACTGCAGAATCATTTGATTTTTCTTAATCATTAAAATAATTTACAATTATACTAAACCAAGTATTTGTCCATTGATTAGTAAGATGGATTGTATCTCTCCACCACTGACTTCACATTTAGTATTTAAAAAAAAAAATAGAAAAAGAAAAAGAAAACGGTTTTCTGATTATTCTTTCATGATTTGCTGGCAGGGAAGACTGAAGAGGGAACCCACAAATTAACATGCATCAGCTACAGCTTGCGTCTCATATATGGTTGAATCCATACCAAGTTTTGCGGAATTTGCTGAAGTCCAGAAAATTACCAACAACTTTAAGAGTGTTCTTGGAGAGGGAGGATTTGGAACCATTTACCATGTAAAGCCATGTTGATTTTAATCGTTACAGCAAAGCTATACATGTCCAGCAAGCTTTTGAAGTTACAGCACAGAGAATAGCTAAAACAATGAAACAGGGTAAATTGTTGCTTAGTTATCTTTTGAATGTGATTTAGTAAATAGGCTGTTGGTTTAGAAGTTCAATCTCTATCGATATGCTGTCCTTTTTTGTTGTTTACTGATATACTGTCTTTTTTTTGTTGTTTACTGATATATTAGTCCTTTGCCTACTTATAAGGAGATAAGGCAGTACAACCTTGGAAAAGTAGAAGTCCAACTCTTAACTTTTTCATCATAAGATTTTATTAGTACAAAAGTTTGAATTAATCAGAAATGCCGTGGTTTCTGCTCTTCATCTTCTTCCTGATCTTCTCTCCATTTCTTTTGAAAAAACCAACAAGCTGGATAATGATATTCAAGTAGCCGTGAAGATGCTATCTCCATCATCAGCTCAAGGGTATGAGGAGTTCCTTACAGGGGTCAGCACCTTAACCTCTAGAATACTCTTGAGCCCTTTTCTTATGTTAAATTAATCTTTGTCTTGAATAAATTTACAGGTGCAACGTCCTGCGGAAGTTCACCATGCAAGCTTGACAACTCTTGTTGGTTACTGTAAAGTGACCACATTGGACTTATCTAAACAACTCTCTTTCTTCTTTAATTTCAATTTGTGATTCAATTTCAATGCTTTCAAGCAATTGATGGTTTTATATTTTATCACAAGCGAATATTTTTAACTAAACAAAAATAATATGGTTAGTATGTGATATATTATAAAGTTATAATATTATATAATATTTTAATTATATATTTTTATTTATTGTTTATATGACATAATTAAAAAAATCAAAATTTATAAAATATAAATATTGGTCATTGAAGTTTTTTATTTACTTTTATTAAAGAAAAAAAAGTTGTGAAATAAAGTAATTTACCATTAAAATCTTTATTTATTTAAAAAATATCATTTAAATACCTCATTAAATAATATTTTTTTATACATCTAATATATTATATAAAACATAATCTTTTTTTTTTAATTTTCGAATTCCTTACTGTTTCATTCAAAACTCAAATTTGGGTTATTAAATAATATATTTTAACGTATGATGGCACACATATTTTTAGCAATTACGCCGTAAACGCGCGCACACAAATCAAAATGGGAAATAAGTCAAAGCGTAAAGCGGAAGTAAGACAAGAGTCAAGGCATATATGTATATAACATTAAAAGGATGACATGCCAGATTTAGGGGATTTATAAAACCCTACTGAAAACTCTGAGACTCCTAGCAATGGCGAGACGGCGGAGAGATGAGGACGAGGAGTTCGAAGATGACTACGAAGAAGAGTCGGGGCAGCTGATGGAAGACGACATGGAAGAGAAGGAGAGAGTTGGATCGAGCCGGAAGCGCAGAAGATCAGCGTTTATTGACGATGTTGCGGAGGAAGACGACGAAGAGGACGAAGATGGTGACGAGGACAAAGATTTTGGTGGGAGACGGCAGAAGAGCAAGCGCTGGGGTTCTCAGTTTCTTGATCTTGAGGCACAGGTTGATAGCGACGAGGAAGAGGAAGAATATGATGGAGAAGACGGTAATGTAATTCTTATTTTTAAAAAAATTCTAACGTCCGAATGATATATTTGAGATTGATTGGTGATAAATTTGGTACCATTGGGTTGTTTGGTGGAATGGAAATCCTTTATCAAGTGATAGCTTATATGCTATCCTGATTTAGTATTTGAATCCGTTTCACTAACCTGATTTCTATTCTTCTGATTGCCACTCATTTAAATATCTGGGTTTATTCTAGATTATACAATAGTTTAAGAATCTAGCATTCCAAGTTTTAATCACAACTACTTAAGTTCTAGCTCTTAAGTATCCATTATCAAGGCACTTCTAATTTTAGTTATTAAGGGAAACTAGTGGGGTATTTTTTTACTAAACTTTATGTTGATTTGATAGTTTAAATTCTGCATGGTTGGATAGTTTTTGAATAATTGGCAACTGTAGGTGCAGATTTCATAGTGGATGGTCGTGCTGACCTACTGTATGATGAAGATGGTGGTAGAAGGATTCAATGTCGTCCATTACTTCCCCAGGAGGATGAACAAGAGGATGTTGAAGCCCTCGAGAGAAGCATTCAGGCAAGATATGCAAGATCAAGTCACGTAGAATATCATGAGGAGACCACCGAAGTAGAGCAGCAAGCCTTGTTGCCTTCAGTGAAGGATACAAAGCTGTGGATGGTGAAATGTCTGGTATGATCATAATTCATAAGTTCTTTTTCAACATTAGAATTCTTTTTCATGAAGCTTTACTTCTGTTGTGATGCTTAGTTCAAAATGTGGTTATTTGTGTCAGATGGGACATGAACGGGAGACAGCTTTCTGCTTGATGCAAAAGTATATTGATAAAGGATCTGAATTGCAAATCAGATCGGCTATTGCTCTTGATCACATCAAGAACTGCATTTATATTGAAGCTGACAAGGAAGCCCATGTGAGAGAGGTATGTTATTATTGATGCTTTTAGTGATCTTGTTTGATTAGCCTAGTTTTGTATGTGTAAACTTATTTTTACTGACTGAGTTGCATCTGCTACAGGCTTGCAAGGGTATGCGGAATATATTTTTAAAGAAGATTGAGCTTGTTCCACTAAAAGAAATGAGAGATGTTCTTTCAGTTAAAAGTAAAGCAATTGATCTGTCTAGGGACACCTGGGTCAGAATGAAGACTGGAACATACAGGGGCGATCTTGCTAAAGTATGCTTGTTTGCATTAAGCTTTTCTTAATTTCTATTTTAATTTCTGTCATCTTAGCACCTTTAAACATCTGCTTTCTATAGGTAGTTGACGTGGACAATGTGCTGCGGAGAGTTACAGTGAAATTAATCCCAAGGATTGACTTACAGGCTCTTGCAAAGAAATTGGTATCATATTTTGTATTTCTTGTGTTGTTGTCCTGTTGTCGTTAAATAGTAAATCTAAGAGTAGAAAAATGCTTTTATCTCTCCCATGCATATGTAGCTGCTAAACTGAGACTTTTTGGACACTGTTAAAGGGTTTTCTTTATTTCACTGTCCTTTTTACATATCTTCCATTTAAAAGTGAAATTTGTTTTTGATACAGGAAGGTCAAGAAGTTCCAAAGAAGAAAGCACTTGTGCCTCCTCGTTTAATGAATATTAATGAAGCTAGGTAGCCTTGGTTATAATGATTTTTAGTTGCTAAGTAATTGTGCATTTCTATGCACTAATTGCCCCTATCTTTGTGTTCCCAGGGAACTCCATATTCGTGTTGAGCGAGCGAAAGACCCACTGACTGGTGATTATTTTGAGAAAATTGATGGGATGTTTTTTAAAGATGGCTTCTTGTTTAAAACCTTGTCCATGAAATCAATTATTGCTGAAAATATAAATCCTACTTTTGATGAACTTGAAAAATTTCGAAAGCCTGGATATAATGGAGATGATGGTGAGGCTGGTTTTTCAACTTTATTTGCAAATAAAAAGAAGGGTTGTTTCATGAAGGGAGACTTAGTTGTAGTTGTCAAGGGGGATTTGAAGGATTTGGAGGGTTGGGTTGAAAAGGTCGAGGAAGAGATTGTCCACATTAGACCAAAATTGAAAGACATTGCAGTAAGAATTTATTGAATTTTTCTATTCTTTTGGTATGGTTTAACAGTTTGTGCAAGTATCTGTCCTAATACCTATTGTACTTGTCCATTAATGTACTTTACAGAAAACTCTTGCAGTCAATGCTAATGAGCTATGCAAGCTCTTTAAAGCTGGGAATCATGTAAAGGTTATCTCCGGGATAATGGAAGGGGCAACTGGTACAGTTGTTAGGGTTGAAAAGAATGTGCTCACTATCTTATCTGACACAAAAAGTGAATATGTAAGTGATTTCTGTTCTCAGTTTAAAAGTCTTATTCAGTGGAATCTTATTTTGAAGAATATTTTTTAGTGGAAAAGTGTAAAAAATGATTTCAAATATTTGTTTCATTAGATCCATGTTTTTGCTGATGATGTTGTGAAAAGTTCTGAGGTAACCACTGCTCCAACCAAAATTGGAGACTATGAACTTCGTGATCTCATTCTTTTAGAGTAAGTGTTGATGATACACTCTCTCTGTCCCTCTCACTGTGTGTATGTGCGTGTGTTGCTGTGTCTGTCTATTTATATCTGACGTATTTGTTCTATATTGTAGTAACAATAGCTTCGGTGTAATTATACACGTTGAAAGTGAAGCATTTAAGGTCAGCTTGGCTGTCCTATTTCAATAGCTAAATGTCCCATTTTCCTCTATATACTCTCCAATTTTGTCTTGTTCTTCAGGTTCTTATGGGAGTTCCAGAGAGGCAAAAAGTTGCTCTTGTCAAATTGAGGGAGATAAAGTGTAAGATTGAGAAGAAGTTTAATGTCCAAGACAAGTATGGGAATACCGTCTCTGGAAAAGATATTGTTAAGATCCTTGACGGTCCTTGCAAGGTGAGGGTTTCATTTCTAGCTGGAAATTTGGGGTGTTGGATATCTTAAAATGTGAAATTTTGTGTTTTACTGTTTGTCCTTTCTATCTTATCAGGGGAAGCAAGGCCCTGTAGAACACATATATAAGGGAGTGTTGTTCATCCATGATAGATATCACCTTGAGCATTCTGGTCTCTTATGTGCTAAATCCAATTTTTGTTGTATTGTTGGAGGTTCACGTGCTAATGGTTCTAGAAATGTCAGTCCCTTTTCTTCATATTTCTTTGTGGTTAATGCATCTTCAATTTACTTAGTTATTGTTCGAGTGATCTCACTCGTGAAATTCTTTAGGGTGATTCTTTCTCAAGATTTGGCTTTTCCAAGTTTCTACCACATATACCCCCATCACCAAAGAGATATTCTTGGGGAGCTCCCCCTTATGATTGTAAGTTGTTGATGGTCATGTTTATAATCATTGGACTTCTTGGTATTGGTGTCCTTATAAGGTTGAATCTTTCCATGAATATATTTCATTACTTCCAGTGCTGATTTTCGCTTATTCAAAACAGCTGGAGGAAAGCACGGAGGTGGAAGAAGGGCGCATGATTCTTTAGTTGGTTCTAGAGTCAAAATTTGTCAGGGCCCTTATAAAGGTTGCCATGGGTGTGTTGTTGATGTTAAAGGCCAATCAATTCGTGTTGAGTTAGAGTCCCAGATGAGGATTGTTACAGGCAGGTTTCCGTTAATATTTGAACGTGTTCACTCTCCCTGTCTTGTTATGGTTTGTAATATTAGTTTCTGCGTGCAGTTGATCGCAAAATTATATCTGATAATGTTGTTTCAACACATTACCGGTAAAAGTGAAATATTCTTAGATTCTTTTGTTTTATTTTTTAAATCAACAAATACATAATATATGTATACATTCGATTTTCTATGCTTTATTTTCCAGTGATGCATCTCGATATGGTATGGGTAGTGAAACTCCACTGCATCCCTCTCGAACTCCACTACATCCATGCACCACACCTATGAGAGATCCTGGAGGCATGTCTTCTTGCCTTCTGTACTTTCCCTCGGTGTTTAGTTTACACAATGCAAACATTGCAATTAATTGCCACTGGTAGATGCTGGTATATTACAAAAAAGTTACCCATTTTTAAATGCTTGCAGCAGCACCTATACATGATGGCATGAGAACTCCAATGTCCGACCGAGCGTGGAATCCCTACACTCCAATGAACTCACCTAGGTTTGTTATCGGGTATTAGTCATATTTTGTTTATTATTATAGAGTGTAATTGGTATAACTGAATTCCATGAAAGTTTGGATCTTATTTGCTATTCCATGCTTCAAATTTGGTATGATGGATAAAAGTCCATGGTTTTAATTCCATGCATTTGTATTTGGTATAATTAGATTTTGTGGGTCTTAATCCATTATTCATTGAGTTTGGAATGAAAGAAAAAGAAAAAGATTGTTCATTTCAATTCTATACATTTGCTCACCCCAACAATTAACAAAAAAATTCACCTTACAAATGAACTCACATGAGTATTCATTTAACCTTTTAATGTGATTCATTTAATTTCCAAATGAACTCAGTTTAAAATTCATTAATAAATGAATTCTTCTTTTATGTTATCCCAAAACTCGTCAACATGTGCATATGATGCAAAAAACATGTGGCTGAAAGGTATGATGTTTTTTATTTTTTTTAGGGGGGGTGGTGTAGGTAATGGTATTGAATTTTTTCTCTAACACAAGTTTGATTGTCTAGTTACGTCGGAATGCATCCTGTTAAGATTGTTAAGACTTATGATGATTGATGAAGCACTGAATGCTTTGTACTCTGCTGTGAAATAGGAATAACTGGGAAGACGGTAACCCTGCCTCCTGGGGAACCAGTCCACTGTATCAGGTTAGGAGTCATTGTACAGTTTGGCTGAAGCAACGGTAAAAATATATTCTTTCTTTATATCTGAATATGAAAGAACTTTATTCTGTCCTTTTCCAGCCAGGAGGTCCTCAGACGTTTGAAGCACCAATCCCTGGCTCAGGTTGGGTTAGCCCTCCTAGTGGCAATTATAGTGAAGCTGGAACACCCAGAGATAGCAGTTCTGCTTGTGGTAGTAAATTCTATTCTTGAAAAGCTAAATTTCACTTTGATAGTTTAGTCTCTTGTGCAGTTGAGACACATTTAACTGATATTGTTGCTTAGAAAGGGGAAAAAAAAACTGTTTATTTTTTATCTCCTCCTTTATGATAAACTGATGTGGAGTTTTTTTATTATTATTAATAGTAGTAGTAGTGCTACTACTGCTACCGATTCTGACTTGTAATTTTACATTATTACTTTTGTTGATTTGGAATTTTACATCATTAATATTTAAATTATCTGGGAATTTCTATCTTTTAAAAAAATATTTTTCATAAACTAAAACGCATATGATTTAATTGGAAAAATGATTTCATTTGTCTATTTAAATCAAATTTTACCTCATGAATTTTAAAAGAAGTAGATTATTTATGTTTACCTTTTGTTTTAACCTCTTTTTTAATGGCAACCAGTTGCAGCCAATGCTCCAAGCCCTTTCTTGCCATCAACTCCTGGGGATCTGCCAATGACACCAAGCTTGGCATCCCATCTTCCTGGAACAACTGGGGGGCAGCCTATGACACCTGGAACTGGCGGTCTTGATGTTATGTCTCCAGTAATAGGTGCTTCTTCAGGTTCCTTAACTTTGCTCTCTCAAACTAAATAGTAAATGTTCTTTATTTAAGTCGTGGCCTAACACAACATGGGTAATTGAAACGCCATGTAGAATAATTAATTTGAATGTGGTTTTTGGTGGAGTTGATAAGTCTTGTATAATCAGTTTCCTGAATAGTTATGTTTTTATAAAGCCATATTTAAAACTTGTTGGATCAGCTATACTGAGTTCTTGGAGTTCACCTTATTCCAGCTTTTTCTGATGTTTCAATTTGATGCAGGTACAGAAAATGAGGGACCGTGGTTCATGCCAGATGTTTTGGTTAATGTGCATCGGTCAGGACAGGAAACTGTGGGAGTTATCCTAGAGGTGTTACCGGTATGTTTCTTTTTCAAGTTGTTGCCATTGAATATTTTGCTCCCGTCTGCATCTTTCTGTATATTATCAAACCATAGATTCATGGATGCATATCAAACTAAACTGTGGGAGTTATTCTGGGTTCTTTGCTTTTAGTTTCTTAAGCTCGTGTAAAATGGTATATTTTATTTTAGATGTAGATATGTTTTGTGAGAGGTGATTACATCATTATAAATGGAAGTAGCTTCTTGAAGTGGATCAGTCTTTGAAAATTGGTGTTCCATGTTCTAGGATGGCTCCTGCAAGTTGGCCCTGGGGTCAAGTGGCAACGGGGAAACAGTAATAGCCCTGCCTAATGAAGTCAATGTAACACAACCAAGAAAAAATGACAAGATCAAGGTCATGACCGGTTCCCTACGTGGTGCTACTGGCAAGTTAATTGGTGTAGATGGTACTGATGGAATTGTAAGGATAGATGACAATCTTGAGGTCAAGATATTGGATTTGGTTACATTAGGAAAACTACCTTGATAACCATTGTGGCTGTTTAGCACTGAAAGGAATTATGGTTATGCCAGTTGGGTGTCTCTTTTACTCTCTAATTAAATTTATGAAATTTATCTTATTTGATATGTCAGATGTTCAGTGGTGAATGAGCAACATGAAAGTTCCATTGGGCACTATTTTAAATTCTTGAAAATTAAAATAGGAAATCTTTCTTTTTAATTTCAAAAATTGTAGAATCCTGTTGTTTGACTGTGCTTTTTGCAAAAATTAAAAACTCTCAAGCTAAAAGTTTCCTTTATTAGTTTTTGCATTTTTTCTTTAAATCAAAATAAAAACTGTATCATTGACGTTGTGTGCTTGAGTTTTCCTTTCTACGTTGGTTCATATCCTTTTATCTTGATTTATTTATTATTTATTTATAATTTGTTATTTTAATTTTTCAATGAAAATTATTTGTTTTATAATTTGTCCAGCCTTGTAGTAATTCGTATTTATAGTGTAAAATGAATGAACTGTACTTTGCATCATCTAAATGTAATTTATATTGTGTTTTACGTTAAAAAGAATGAAAAACTATTACCAAACATGTTTATTTTTTTGTTTATTTTTGAAAGGTTTAAACTCCATTTTGGTCCCTGAATTATTGTAATGATCCTAATTTGATCCTTAAACTAAAAAAATCTCTGATTTGGTATCTACTATTTATCATTTTAGCCATGATTTGGTTCTTCTGTTAAATATCCACTTATGTGTCCCGCTACTTGACGGGAAAAGGATGACATGTAAAAGTATTTTGACACATAGGATATATACAACATGGCAAAAATAATGAGATAGTAAGAAAAAACCTTAAAATTTTTCCTTTTCTTTTTTTTTTTTTTCTTCCTTTTGTTTTTCCTTTTTGCCTTTCTTCTTCCTCTCCCTTTTGTTTCACCTTCTACAAACCCTAACACCTTCTAATATTAAATCCAAGGTTAACACAACAAATCAACAGATTGAACTCAACAAATCCATTAGCCCAATAGCTGTTGGGTTCAAAACGGAACTCAACACATGTTGGGTTCAAAATCGAACCTAACACCTACAGCAATATGAGAATAACACAACAGATCAACAGATATAACTCAACAAATCCATCGACTCGATGACTAGTGGGTTCGAAATAGAACCCAGCGCTTGCTGGGTTCAATCACTTGCTGGGTTTGATTTCGAATCTAACACCTGCAAGAACCCAAAGGTTGTTGGGTTCAAAATTGAACCCAACGGCTGCTAGGTTCCAAATTGAACCCAACAACTACTAGGTTCCATTGACCCAGCAGCTGCTGGGTTTGAAATGGAACCCAATAGTTGCTAGGCTTGAAATCGACCCCAACAGTTGCTGGGTTTGCAGAAGGCACAAAGGAAAGGAAGATGAAAGAGAAAGGGAAAAAAGGAGAGAGAATTGGGGTTCACTAAGTTTGAAAATGGAACCCAGTGGCTGCTAGGTTCAAAATCAAACTCAGCACCTACTGGGTTCCGTCGACCAAGCAACTACTAGGTTTGAAATGGAACCCAACAACTGCTCGGTTCGAAATCGACCCCAACGGCTATTGGGTTTGCAAAAAGCACAAAGGAAAGGAAGA